TTGAGTGCTGATATGTTACTTGCTGTTGGGTTTTATTAGACTCAGCCAAGATCATTATAAAGATGCTCTGGCCATGAGGGCGCAAACAATTGGCTAGCTTGAAACTAAAAACGTCTATTGCAGCACCAAGCAAAAATTAAGCTAATTTCAGACCAGTAGTTTTAATTAACAAAATGAAGAGGAGCACATTCCATGTTTGAATTACGCCTTTGTCAATAAAAGGCACAAACAATGGGAGCTCATAGGCTAACAGACACAAACGAACCCCTGGCATATTGAGCCTGAATCATAAAGCCTTATTGAATGTGATGACCACCAAGGACAGAGTTATGTTGAATGTACCATGCCTCAAGTGTCAGCTGGGACCACTCAAGCATTAATTCCATATTGCAAAAAATGCGAGGTCATTTTCGAGCTACTGAAGATTGCATGTCTTATTTACACACAGATAATGCAAATGTACTGAAATCATTACATTCCCCATTTTAGTGAAATTACATCCACGATGCAATACATACTGTGTGGAATATGTTGTATAAAAGAGCATTTGATAAAATCACTCAATGCACCCGATCTTGTCAGATTTTAGAAGACAATTATTGGATGGGTGACCACCATGTACAAACAGGTTGCTATAGGCTGTTGGGATACACAGTGCAATCAAGTCCAGTGTTGTACTTATTTCTATGGTCGCACATCTATGCTCCCAGCTTTCATCAAGCTGTACTAACCAGCATGGTAAAGTAGGGTCAAATAATCCCCACGACCTACACGGAGTGAGCTTGGCCATCATCCACCACTTGTGTGCTTAAAAGTGTTTATACACGTATAACATTAACATTGATGTGTGTGATGCCATAAACTGTAGGCTTACTAACACACATTTGTACATATTCAGGATTGTATTTAATGTGTGCGTGGATTTTAAAAAAACCCAAATAATTAAGGCTTTAAGGAGTACAGCTGTCTCTTGCTAAGAATAACGTGTATTTTCATATCTATCCCCTGTTCAAATCCAGGCTATGCCAACCTTCAGACCTCTCTGCTATTTACAACTGCGATGAGTGAGTGCTTATGCATAGCAAGTTGCCACCTCACCGCATTTAGGTCAGCCGAGGGAATTTCTGACACAATGACACTGTGCAGAGAAGGAAAACTGTACACGCCCTTCTCTTGTGGCCAAAAAAAAAGCAAAAATCACAAAGGCACCCCCAAATTTAGACAAAACTGCATGACCAAGTAAAGCCTTTTTTTAATAACAAAGCAAGCGACAATCACCTGTCTGGCTGATATCTTCAAATTGTAAACGTTGGTATAAAGCGGTCTATATGAATGCTATTTGTTTGAAGGACTACAATATATACTGTATACACGTGTGGTTACTGGCGATCGTGCCAGCACGTTGAAGCGTAAATCCGAAAAGGATGATATGCACCATGTGGTGATGGTGCATTGTGTATGTTCAATAAATTAACAAATGGCCTTTATTTATCCAGGCCATCCTCACTGAGTTTGAGGAGTGTTTTTTTATTTCATTATGGTCCTGGAATTGAAATTTTTTGCCATTTACTTTTTAATTCGTGTAATTGGGGGAGGAAACCAGAGGTGACCGGAGAAAACCTACCCTCGACGAGGGGATAACACATCTATACATATAATTTAGCATGCATATGTTGTACGTATGCTGGCATGTCTATGTACTGTGTACGAAAGTATGCGCAGGTTTTACCGTGCGCGCGATAGCATGAATATTATAAACTTGCATGTATATTTGTTGAATGTTGAACTACTTTCGCACCATAAGTGGCCAACCGTGCTAATCGGAGGTGCAGGGAAAGGACACCAAACTAAGCACAAAAGCATGTGCATATTGCTAGTATTAGTATAAACTGTACATGTCTTGACATGTCTTAGTTGGCAAATATGACTTTAGTGTGAGCTTTGACATGTGCTTACCCAACTGTACCGTACATGTGTTGACGTGTGCATATGTTTTGGTCTTATTTGAATTTTCTCACGATATGACAGCATGTTTTGTGTATCATGTGTGTGCACAAGTACATGTGAACAAGTATCCACACCTACCACTGAACCCACAATCCACAACAAAACCCCAAAAACCACCACCGAACCCACACCCACTGTTGAACCCACACCCACCACTGATCTCACACCCACCACTGAACCCACTCCCACCACTGATCTCACACCCACCACTGAACCCACACCCACCACCCAACCCACTCCCACCACTGAACCCACACCCACCACTGAACCCACACCCACCACCGAACCCACTCCCACCACCGAACCCACACCCACCACCGAACCCACACCCACCACCGAACCCACTCCCACCACCCAACCCACTCCCACCACCCAACCCACTCCCACCACTGAACCCGCACCCACCACTGATCTCACACCCACCACTGAACCCACTCCCACCACTGAACCCACACCCACCACCCAACCCACTCCCACCACTGAACCCACACCCACCACTGAACCCACACCCACCACTGAACCCACACCCACCAGGGAATCCCCACCCACCACTAAGCCTGCACCCACTACTGAACCCGCACCCACCACTGAACCCACACCCACCACTGAACCCACTCCCACCACTGATCCCACACCCACCACTGAACCCACTCCCACCACTGAACCCACGCCCACCACTGAACCCACACCCACTACTGAACCCACACCCACCATTGAACCCACTCCCACCACTGATCCCACTCCCACCACTGAACCCACACCCACCACTGAACCCACTCCCACCACTGATCCCACACCCACCACTGATCTCACACCCACCATTGAACCCACACCCACCACTGAACCCACACCCACCACTGAACCCACGCCCACCATTGAACCCACTCCCACCACTGATCCCACACCCACCACTGATCTCACACCCACCACTGAACCCACACCCAGCAATGAACCCGCACCCACCACTGAACCCACACCCACCGTTGAACCCACACCCACCACTGAACCCACTCCCACCACTGATCCCACACCCACCACTGATCTCACACCCACCATTGAACCCACACCCACCACTGAACCCACACCCACCACTGAACCCACGCCCACCATTGAACCCACTCCCACCACTGATCCCACACCCACCACTGATCTCACACCCACCACTGAACCCACACCCAGCAATGAACCCGCACCCACCACTGAACCCACACCCACCGTTGAACCCACACCCACCATTGAAGCCACACCCACTCGGGAACCCACACCCACCACTAAACACGCACTCACCACTGAACTCACCACTGAACCCACCCCCACCACTGAACTCACCACTGAACCCACTCTCACCACTGAACCCACTCCCACCACTGGACCCACACCCACCACTGAACCCACACCCACCACTAAACACGCACTCACCACTGAACTCACCACTGAATCCACTCCCACCACTAAACACGCACCCACTACTGAACCCACCACTGACCCACACCCACCACTGAACCCACCACTGAACCCACACCCACCACTGAACCCACTCCCACCACTGTACCCACACCCACCACTGAACCCACTCCCACCACTGAACCCACCACTGAACCCACACCCACCACTGACCCACACCCACCACTGAACCCACCACTGAACCCACACCCACCACTGAACCCACACCCACCACTGAACCCACCACTGAACCCACACCCACCACTGAGCCCACACCCACCACTAAACCCACACCCACCACTGACCCACACTCACCACTGACCCACACCCACCACTGACCCACACCCACCACTGAACCCACACCCACCACTGACCCACACTCACCACTGAACCCACACTCACCACTGAACCCACACTCACCACTGAACCCACACTCACCACTGAACCCACACCCACCACTGAACCCACACTCACCACTGACCCACACCCACCACTGAACCCACACCCACCACTGAACCCACACTCACCACTGAACCCACACTCACCACTGAACCCACACTCACCACTGAACCCACACTCACGACTGAACCCACTCCCACCACTGACAAAGCAGCTGAGCCCTTCATTGTTTTCCCTGTCACTCCCTTATCTCGTATGTGTTTGCACTTAATGCTTCAAGGCCCGGCGCTGTGAAGCCCTCCGTATCTACTACCACCGTCGACACATTGAAGACGACGACACATCACAACAGCATCCTCCATCGCGGACCGGCAGCCACACAACCGAACAGTAGAACAATAGAGTCGACAATGAAAACAATCGGGGGGAAAAAAGGGCCACCACGTGTGACAAGATGATTTGGTGATGCCGCTACATCAAGCACAACAAAAAAAACTCAACGCATCGCCTTATAAGAAAACCAAATATATATAATTGGTAGATTTTTCGGGCAACGGCCCTCTTGCAAGAGACAACAAAAAAAAATTGGCACTGCGATATTATTTTGGCGCACTCAAGCACGCCACAATTCAATGTTATACAACGCTACAGTACCCAAACACTGTAGGTCGTTTAGCCGCTGTGCCTTCTGCGTGTTCGGCTCTTGCTGTGCTGCGTTAACATCCCCCGAACATCATCCGAGAGAGCGATCTGCTTGGCCATTCGTTGACGCACCGATTCATTCATTCCTCATCATCATCGTCGTCCTCGGCGGACACAATCGAGTCTTTTTTTTTTAAATGTTGCAAAATCTCAGCACGCGTGCTCGCCGCGCAAGGCTTGATTGGTCTGACCGAAATAAAACTGCAACAAATGTCCACAACGACTACAACAACACCACCACCAACAACACTAACAATCGCGGGCAGCAGGCATTGGTAGCTAGCAGCAAAGCGCAGCAGCGTGCAATCAACGCGAGAGTCCTTCCCCGACACCGCCGACTAAAGCACCAGCCGGTGCTTTAGAAGAAGATCGACACACGACACAAAGGCGGCAGCAGCAGCAGCAGTGGGTGGTGGTGGTGGTGTAAGAAGACGTCCAAGCTCACCCACCAGCACGACGGTGAACCTCTCCTCCAGCTCTCCGGGGTCCGGCATGGGCAGCTTGAGGGGCATGCTGTGCGCCCTCGCCTCGGCGGCGGCGGCGGCGGCGTGAGCCGGCTCCATGCTGCCCGCGTTTCCCATCTTGGCGGAGCTTTTGCTTTTCCCCGATTTTCTCATAGATGCATGCGAAAGTTGGGGAAGCGGCGTCGCCGAAACGTCTAGCCGCGTGGGGTTGTTGTGGTTGTGGTTGTTGTGGTTGTGGCTTTAACTTCGCGTCTCCCGTGGCTGCCGCTTGCGTGATTTGCGTTGTCGTTCGCCGCAGCCAGCTTTCCTCTTTCTCTCTTCCACGAAAGGTTCTTGTTCTTCCTCCGTTTATCTTTGTCCGCCTGGGTTGTTGCTGCTGTTGCTGCTGCTGTTGTTGCCGCCTGTGTGTTTGTGTCGCCTGTGTGTTTGTGTCGCCTGTGTGTTTGTGTCGCCTGTGTGTTTGTGTTTTTCCTGTCGCGATTTAAGAGACGGAACGACGACGTCGTCGGCCCGCCCGCTCCGTTTTGCTGAGCGCTCAGATTTACGGATGAACGCGGTTTATTCTTTGCGCTTTACGCACAGGGAAGATAAGTGGAAGATAAGACTTCTCACTAACTCCACCGAGTATCGAGAGCGGGGTTTTGTTGCTGCTGCTAAAACGTCATTTTGTTGTTGTTGTTGTAAATCCCGTTACAACCTCGCCAACACGAAGCTTGGCCCGTCCGTCCGCTTTGTTCCCCCGGCCTGTCGCGTTTCCTCCACAGCGGTGTAACGGGGACCCACGGAGAGAGGCGGTGGGGGTGGTGGGGGGGTGGTGGTGGGGGGGTTGTGGTGGGGGGGGTGGTGGGGGGTGGTGGGGGGGGTGGTGGGGGGGGTGGTTCTATTCCGCTCCAGGGTCCATCCGGGCTGAGTACGGACGCGGGTGGCTGCCGCCTCTCCCCCCTCTCCCTCCCCTCCATCCCCCCTCTCCCTCCCCTCCATCCCCCCTCTCCCTCCCCTCCATCCCCCCTCTCCCTCCCCTCCATCCCCCCTCTCCCTCCCCTCCATCCCCCCTCTCCCTCCCCTCCATCCCCCCCTCTCCCTCCCCTCCATCCCCCCCTCTCCCTCCCCTCCATCCCCCCCTCTCCCTCCCCTCCATCCCCCCCTCTCCCTCCCCTGCATCCCCCCCCCTCTCCCTCCCCTGCATCCCCCCCTCTCCCTCCCCTCCATCCCCCCCTCTCCCTCCCCTCCATCCCCCCCTCTCCCTCCCCTCCACCCCCCCTCTCCCTCCCCTCCATCCCCCCCCCACCGTCGCCTCCCCCTTCGCGGGCTTCCTCGGCGGATGCGGACGGGACGTGTCTACCGGGAGACTGAAATCCGTGTGACGTCACCCCCCCTTCTACCCCCCCCGTTTCAAGGACTCTTGAATTTTTGCGTCTCTTCATTGTCTGCAGACTTATGTGGGGGGCTGTGAAGAAGGGGCCCTTGCCCGAAACGTCGCCGATGATGTAGGTTTTTTTTTTAAACAAACATGTCAGGCGGCGTTAGGATTTGCACGAGAGAAAATCGTCACCGGTGTGAATGCCCGACGGCTTGATAATCGTAATGAAACGTGTAACGTCGATGGCATCTGCAAAAGTACCTTTTTAGTCATCACCTTCGTGAAAAAAAATTGTTCTCGATGTTACCTACAAAAATAATCAAAGCGTTCATCAGAAATCACCTAGTGGGTTATAAAATTGCAATCGGTGACCAATGAATTGATAAATCATTCAAAACTATATTGCATGATCATCAAGACTTATTTAAAATTATAAAATCTAAATTGGCACTATAACTGTTAGTATTAATTACTGGAATCGTTATCAAAGCAATGCAATCATAAGTGTCAATATCAATCCTCAATGGTCTCCGGTATTAACAATATTTAAAACATCAAAACCACCATCTCTAAAATGGTAATGAAAAATGTACTGTATACATATTTTGCAATATAAAAACGATTAAAAACAAAACGTATACAAAAATCAACATAAAATACTGCATCAATGGAATAATATGAACCAATTACTAAAACTGCAACATCACAATCATCTCCCTAAAATGTAATAATCAAAACAATACATCTCCATACCCCAAAAAATAAAAAAACCGAATTACCATGACAATGACCACTATCATATCTAAATGCGTTGCATGGTTTTTCTAAATTCCAAAAAGGTCTGGGAATTGTACAGTACAGTGTTTGAATAGGGCGTATGTAACATTGGTTAGATGTCAATTTTACTTTTCATAACGTTGGAAGATTGCTCTGTCATTCATCAGCATTGACTATGAAACGGATCACTTAATCACTCATTTTGCAATGCCAATTAACTGACATGTTTGAAGAAATCCATCTTAGGGTGTGTTTAGAAATCGACAATGCTTAAGATAAAAAAATACACACTTTTGTCTGGTGACAGAGGAAACTTAGGACCCAAGGAATATAACGGGTTACAGTACATATGCTTTCACGTAAATTGGGTCGCTTGGTACTCCCTTTAGCAGCTTGGTCTCTTCTGCCTGTCACAATGCAGTGAGGGTCGCTGCACTCAACCAATAAAGAGGCGCTAATACCTGCTGCTCGTGCTGCTGAGGTGTGGCATTGTCTGGCCTTGTGTCTGGAAATATGTATATGCAAGATGAAAGAGGGTAATCATTGTGGATCTCTACCAATGGTTCACATGTCAATATGAATGCAGCGATTAGAATAATGTATAACGTGTACAACATTTATTTTTTGTTAAGCCACTGGTGGATGAGGGCCTTCCCATATCGTGCAGGCATACTTCACCACACGGGTCAATGGATTTTGTTGCGCTGCCCTCTGCTGCCCACAGCACCTATTGCATCTGTCTTTTGCACAGTGCAAGCCACAGTTTAGTTTAACCGCACGGGAACTCACGAGACGAGGACGATTCCTATTTGCCAGTGACCTGGGATTTTAGTCTGCCAGTTGGGGGCGAATATTGCTTTGTGTAATCCCAATTGAGTAAGTTTGCGGGCAATGTTCTCATTTAGCAAAATTTGGACCCTTACGTCAGAACACAATGGTCGACTTCTGCTGAATGATGTAAGGGGATCTTTAACGTCCACTGTAAAGCAGACGGCGCGGATTATTGTGGTTCCTACAACCGCAGTAATAATCGTGGTGGTCGCTGGATTCGAACCATGAACCTCAGCAGCAGGCGACGAATGCACTACAGTACCTAATATATCCATTGAAAATGAAGTCACAAATAACACGGGGAAAATATTTTATAAAACTAGGATACATATTTCGACATTTGCATACACCAGAAACCTCTTACGCAAATGTACACAATAAACGTATGGCCAATTCCAGCTTCAAACTTTTCAGAAGGATGATGATGATGGTTGGAGAACTTTCAGTGTTATCTCCTATTTTGTGCAATTTATCTTGGTATTTCAATTCCTCCCACATACCAAACTCGCAACGTAAATGGCCAAACATCCCCATGCAGGACCCTCTCGAAAATGAGTCTTGAGGCTCAGGCTTTCATGAGTAAAGGTTACAGTTTTACAGTACATACAGGATAAGTATTAGTTGAAAAAGAAATTCAAGATATTTCTGTACGTTTATTGCATTGAATATAAAATCGAACATTTATAAGGTGCAAATTTATCACACTTTCGATAGCGAAACTTTGAGATTATAAACCATTTTTCTGGTTAAGAAACGTAACGTTTTAAGGAACGTAAGAGATAGAGAGTTAACTTTTTTTAAAGCACAAAAATGCTATCTCACTGACACAAATCATGTGTTCTTAGCTGTCCAGTTGCACAGAAGGGTACTTTGTCGCGGTGCCATTGTCTAATTTTTATTAAGCAGTGGGCTATGGGCTCTTGAAAGAGTGCCACTGTGGTAAAAAAAAAACAAAAGTGGAGGACCATTTCCCTTTGAACAACTGCGCAACTGGAGCGCCAGGCAGGGCCCCTTGCCACGATTCTCCTCCAGCGATTCTTGTGGGTGCCTGCTGCACACATCGTTCACCACTTCCTCCTTTCCAGGCAAACGAGAAGAACAATGGCTTTATTTTGGATGCTTTGTTGAAACTGGGGGCTTGTGTGGAGGATGGGGGTGGGAGTTTGAGGGATGGGGGGTTGGGAGCCCATCTCAAGAGGATGCTGTCTGTGACATAAGGCAGCCACTCGGTAGCATGTAATGTGAGGCGATGGCTGGGACGATATACGTCTGGAAGATCTTCACATTTAAAATTACCTTGATGTGTGGTGATTTATTTAGAAATGTAATGCATGATGTAATTAGTCGCAACTCTAAAGGAAGTCACGAGACAGACTGAACGCATGTGTTTTTGCTGTTTGCAACGTGGTTTAGGCAACAGTATTTTCCAACGAATTATTTTCTGCGGAAGAATAATTTCATGCAGAGTTGCATATGCATTTGCACTGTATTTACAAATATTTAATGGTGAATAAATACGTATTAAAACATATTCACGCAACATTATTTTGGAAAAATGTAAGTCGATCTGAGAGCAAGTAATGAACAAAGGTTTATTTTATTTCATGTATCAGATGCTGGGTAACACATGTTTGGAAGTTTCACTCATTCTCATCCGTCTGAAAAGCGAGACTCAGCCGGCTGTTGCCTGATTTCCATTGCCCTCGTTTAAAACTTGCGGGAAATAATATACATCATTGTGTATGATGCCACCCAAACCACTTTTAATATTTTCCAAGAAAATATCATCTTACCACTCCCCATAACAAACATTCATTTGCTAAGAATACGTTATTTTATCAAGCTTCACCCATAAGTCCTTTCACACTTGCCTTACACGTTGCATCACAGTAATAAAGGAACTGTACACACACCACTAAGTAATGTAATGCATAACAGAAATGCATGTAAACATCCTAACAGTACAATACTCGCAATGTTGATTAAAGTAATTACTGAGCAATATATTTTTGGTAGCAGCAGATGACATAAACCTCTGGCATCTGATGTCAAATGACTGTTTTTATCATATTGTTGAAGTATGCACTGTAGCTAATTGCAGAAAATATAGGCATACTATTAAGGACGTACTGTATGTGTTTTGATATAATTTTCATTGAAGCCAATTGCTAAATGAGGAACACAATGGGACATTACATATATAAACTCTCCAGCATCAAAGTACAGCATTACGAATAAAACACTTTTTACACCAGAATATACATTTCAGGGATCATCATGTTTCATAAAAAAATCAGAGTTAAATGTTGTAAAATGGGAGCAGAAAACCCTGGCTTTCCTTGCCAATAAAACCACTGAAAAGGCATACATCTTTCCCTGAGCCTTCCAGCTGGGCTCCCTTTTCAATCAGTCTTTTCAGCCACCGTGGTAACGCCATCTGTTCCCCTTCCTGGCTGGCAGATTCCCATCAGCTTACCACGTTTATCAGTATTACGGGATCACATACATGTAAATCCCAAACACAGCAATGAGGGAAATGCTGCGTATTGCCCCTGTAGACACCGTGTTAATTTATGCTATTAAAATACTATATTGTTACTGCAATAACTTACGGCACTTTTTTAACACAACTGCTTCATGAAGGCATTTCCTCATGCTGTATTTCTTACTACGGGGTTGCTTGATTATTTTTCATCACACTGATTCAATGTGGGTTGCTAGGGTAGTGGGAAACCAGGTCAGTTCAAATGTCACTCCCCACTGATGTGAGCCCTGGGAAGAAAATGTGATTCAGGTCGCTGGCTTCAGAATGCAGTGTGCTAACCATTGCACCACAAC